GGAGGAGGTGGAGGAGGAGGAGGAGGAGGAGGAGGAGGAGGAGGGGGGGAAGTCCAAGGCCACTCCAGATGGGCCAGACGGTTCCAGGGTCGATCCAGATGGCTCCAGACGGTTCCAAGGCCACTCCAGATGGGCCAGACGGTTCCAAGGGGTCGCTCCAGATGGCTCCAGATGGTTCCAAGGTCGCTCCAGATGGGCCTGACATGTCCTCGCGGATGGCGCCAGGCGGGATGGCATGGCGCAAGGTGACCTCCAGCATGGCTTCGGTATGCCCTCGGAGGGCCCCAAGACGGCTCGAAATGGTCCCGGAGCTTCCGACGGATGCCCCCCGAGAGGCAAGACCAAGTTTTGGCGGCGAGCGAGGGGGGCAAGTACGAAGGAGAAGGCCCTCTCAGAAGGCGGCGGGACTTCTCAGAAGCCCTTGAGAGGCTGTTGCGTGTGTCTTCGGGGAAAGGCTCGAAGCCTTCTCAGAAGGCCGGGGGACTTTCGAACCTTCTGAGAAGGCCTTCTCCTTCTCACTTCCCCCCTCGCTCGCCGCCGACTTTTACTTCGTGGCGTGGCTCATACCCTGAGATCCTGTCGGGCGGTCTTCGGTTGCACATGATGGGATCCTGGTTTACCCTCTTAATTTCGTCTTTGGTGCCGCTTTGCGTCGATTAGAGTCTGTGAGTCGATGACGTAGCGCCGATTTAGCGTCGGCTAGCGTCGATGTAGTGTCGATGTGGCGCCGATTAGCGTCGATTTGGCGCCGACTAGCGTCGATTCGCAAGAGCCGACAAGATGGTATGGGAGGCTCCCATGAGTTGCCACCGAAGGCGGTCCGATCCGATTCCGATCCGATTCCGATTCCGATGTCCCGGCGATCCGAAACGGCTCCATGCTGGCCTAGCGCCGCTGTGCATCTTGGCGCAGCCGATCCGATTCGATCTGGGTCCCGTGCCAATGCAGCCCCATCCGACGCGCGTTCCGACTCGATCTGGTTTCCCGAGACGGATGCTGATCGATTCTGCCCCGCCTCCGCGGGCGTCGGGTCGGACAAAATCGGGCAGGGTTAGGACGAGGATAAGTCCGCTCCAGAGCGCTCCAGAGCGTTCCGGAACGCTCTTGGAAGTCCGCGGCGCCGGATACATCCTTCAGAGCCGCCGGACCTCAGACATTCTCTCGAATGATCCTCCCCCGATGGTATCCTCGCCCTGGCTCCGTCTTCTCCCGGCGTCGCAGTCTGCTCGCACCGGATGGCTTCGCCCAGCCTCGGGCACCGGGGTGCGGGGGGCCTTCGGCATCCCGGGGGTCGCGGGGAGGGCGCGGCCGGCCACTCCGCCCGTGTTCGGTGCGTTTTTGGTCGATTTTCGGCGCCCTCGGGTCGGTCTTCGGCGCCCGTGATCGGTTTTCGGCGCCCTCGGTCGGTTTTCGATGGCCTCGGTTGATTTTCGACGCCCTTGGCCACTGGTCGGTTTTCTGCGTCGATGATGATGATGATGATGATGATGATGATGATGATGATGATGATGATGATGATGATGATGATGATGGTGATGGTGATGGTGATGGTGATGGTGATGATGATGATGATGATGATGATGATGATGATGATGATGATGATGATGATGATGATGCTGATGCTGATGATGATGATGATGATGATGATGATGATGATGATGATGATGATGATGGTGATGGTGATGGTGATGGTGATGGTGATGGTGATGGTGATGGTCATGGTGATGGTGATGATGATGATGATGATGATGATGATGATGATGGTGATGCTGATGGTGATGGTGATGATGATGATGATGATGATGATGATGATGATGATGATGATGCTGATGCTGCTGATGCTGATGATGTTCTTCACGTCGGATCTCAGGGGAAGGCTGGGCCCCTTCCCATGGACCGGCTCTCCATCCTGCAGCCGTTTTGTTTGATGGGCTCAGGGCTCTTGCGCAGGGCCCCTGGAGGCCGCAAACGGTGAGCCCTGTTCCGTCGCGAGGACTCTGAGATCCGACGATGTGAAAAATTGCACTGGAGCCTTAGGCCTTATCTTTCTGCTGCATTGTTCGAGATGTATATATCTGTGATGGTTCCGGGGCCCGAAACTGGGCTGAAACGGCCAGTGTGAAAAAGTGCAAAGAGCGGCTCTCAGGGGAGGTCAGAGGCTTTTCGCCCCAGGAGTCGCACGCGCCTGCCCGCGCGCGCGCCTGGGCGGCAGCAGATGGCGGCGGACCAGGCGCTCGGTGTGGTCAGGCAGATCCAGGCTCTGGCCGAGGGGCCACAGACGCCGCAGATGCGCGCCCTCCTGGGCCAGGTCGTGCCTTCCTCCTCTCCCCCTCTGCCCAGTCGCACCCCCAGACGTGTCGGCAGGGCGGGCAGGGCGTTCCGCCTGAGACTTTCACCAGTTATGATCCTGAAGCTTGAACTTCCACAGCTTCACGGCTGGAGGGCCAGTGGTTTTCAAAATGTGTCTCTCGCTTGAGCGCCGCGAGCATTCGTTTTAAATATTCGCAGCAGCTTCACAGATGGAGGGCGGTTGCTGTTTAGAATGGCGCCCCGCACATTCGGTGGATTCGCACGGTCGGAGTCCCAGGAATGGTGTTCTGGCGGGATTAAGGATTGTCAGAACGCAGCAGTCACGCTGATTCGCAGAGTTGAAGTCCCAGGACCGGTGTTTTGGCACGACTTAGGATTGCCATGATGCAACAGTCACGTTGACTCGCGACGCTTGAGTCCCAGAATTCGCGCGTTGGCACGACTTGAGATTCTCTGATGTTTTTTGTCAGCGGTACGTTTCCCACGAAGAACATACATTCTAGTAGGGCCCTATGAAGAGGGAACTTGGAGTGAGGGTTTATTGTAACAATGTTGATGCGTATTGGACTTACACTGGTCCTCCTCCTCCTCCTCCTCCTCCTCCTCCTCCTCCTCCTTCTCCTCCTGCTCCTCCTCTCCCGCCTCCCATCCTCCTCCTCCTTCTCCTCCTCCTCCCTTCCCCCCTTGCTTCTGCTCCTCCTCCTCCTCCTCCTCCTCCTCCTCCTCCTCCTCCTCCTCCTCCGCCTCTCAAGCACATGCGGCCCGAGCCCCATCCGTAACATTTGGCTTTGCGATGGGCCCCAGGTCGCGTCCAATGCCTTCACGTGGCGCTCGGGGGGTCCAGTTCCTGCCGCAGTTTGGTCTGGTGAGACTGGACGATTTCGGTGAGCACGGCTTCAAATATGCTGGGTGCGGCACGGAGTTGCATGTATTGCGCTCGAGGGATGCCCATCGGGTCTGAAGCGCATGCCTGCGTTCCCACGCCTCGCTCAGCTCCGCATCAAATTCGCCAGGATAGGGAATGGGGGGGTTCGATGCTGCTCCCGCGCTGCCTGCCGTCAGTGCTCACCATGTCTGCTGCCTGGTGGTGGTCTCCAGGTGTGCGCTGTGCTACTTGCAAGAATCGGGGCTGGACAGAACCCCCAACAGTGACACGTCGATTAGTGAATTGTCCGTTTTCGGTTCTCGAGAGGGCGCCGTGGCCGTTATTTTCCAGGCTTGCGCCTGCCAGGTTTGGGCCTCAGGTCGTTTTCACTAAACCACGTTTTACTAAAGGGGGGCCTGTCCATCCCCGAAAGAATTCCTGGTTGGGCCGCGACACCCACGTCGCGTGCGCTCTGTCCCGGGATTGTTGTGCTTCTCGGCCGTGGTATGTCGTGGAAAATTCGTTTTACGGTGCGCGCGCGTGCTCGTCTTCGTCGTCTCGCTGCTCCGCGAACTCAGGGCGCGCGTGCCGTAGCATCATGTGGTGTCGCGACTCGGCAACTGTGATTTTTATACATACTCCTCCTCCTCCTCCTCCTCCTCCCCTTCCTCCTCCTCCTCCTCCTCCTCCTCCTCCCCCTCCTCCTCCGTATCCTCCTCCTCCTCCTCCTCCTCCTCCTCCTCCTCCTCTCACTCCTCCTCCTCCTCCTCCCCCTCCTCCTCCTCCTCCTCCCCCTCCTCCTCCTCCTCCTCCTCCTCCTCCTCCTCCTCCTACTCATCCTCCTCCTCCTCCTCCTCCTCCTCCTCCTCCTCCTCCTCCCAGTCATTATCATCATCCTTTCCCTCCTGCTTCTCCTCTTTGGTCGTTCGGTCGGTTCATGATGGTCAAAGATGTTGCCCACACAAGGAAAAGGAGGAGACAAACAAGAACAAATGATGTAATCTCCTTTGGCTCCAGATCGATCGTGCGCGCAGCCGCGCGCAAGCCAGGAGACAGGAGGAGCCGCCTCCTCCTCCTCCTCCTCCTCCTCCTCCTCCTCATCATCATCATCATCATCATCATCATCATCATCATCATCATCATCATCATCATCATCATCATCATCATCATCATCATCATCATCATCATCATCATCATCATCATCATCATCATCATCATCATCATCATCATCATCTTCCTCGTCGTCGGGAGGTCGTGCCCTCCCTGCTGGCCTTCCTGGATCACCCCGACAGCCGCGTCAGGCTCAACTCCGCCAGGGCGCTGCGGAACCTGTCCGCAGGCTACCCGGAGGACTCGGAGGGGGCCCGCCGAGACGACGGCCGCCCTCCCTGGCGTTTTTCTCGCCCTCGTCGGGTATCCTGGGGGCTCCTCGTCGCCACGGGCGGATCCGCTTCGGAAGAAATGGCCAGGAGGGGCCCCGGGAAAAGTCCGGGGCCCGCCAAGGAGGAGGAGGAGGAGGAGGAGGAGGAGGAGGAGGAGGGGGAGGAGGGGGAGGAGGAGTAGGAGGAGGGGGAGGAGAAGGAGGTGGAGGAGGTGGAGGAGGAGGAGGAGGAGGAGGAGGAGGTGGAGGAGGTGGAGGAGGAGTGAGGTGAAGGAGTGGAGGACGTGGAGCGGGCCCCTGGCCGGGCGGCAGAGGCCTGCCGTGGTCTCGGCGGGCCCTCCTTAGCCTCTCGGGAGGACGTGGCCGCCCTCGACCTCGGCAGGGCGCGGGGCGCACTCGGCCGCGTCAGGGAGTCCCGGGCCACCGGGGCCGCGGACGGCGACGCCGAGGATCGGCCGCGCGTGAGGGTGGCCCTTCGCTGGGGCGGCCTCTCTGTGCGCGGCTCTCGGGGGGGAAAGGGAGGGGGGGAGGGGAAGCCGTAAGTCGGGCCCGTCCCTCAACAGGGGGGATTTTCAAAAATAGTCAAAAAAGAGTCTGGGGACAATTTTATTAGTATTGTTTGAGCATTTTTAGTGCATTTTTGGTGTATTTTTGATTTTTCGTTCAAAATCGGCCTGTAGGGGGACAGGCCCGACTTACGGGAAGCCCGAGCTCGCAGGCCGTTGCCGTCGCACCGCACGCAGCGATCGGCAGGCCGCTCGCCACGCGTAGGCCACCCTTGCAGAGGGTGCAGTCAACATTGATAGTAAGGACGGTCGACTTCCCCTGGGTACCCTTGCATCTCGGGCCGGACGAAAGGGGGGGATTGGGAAAGGGGGGGTTACGAAATTTGCTGCATGCAGCTGATTTCGGCCTCACCGAGGGGCCCATTCCTCGGTACATAGCCGCCTCTGGCGCCGGGAGGCGCCGGAAAAATCAGCTACGTGAGCTGATTCTCAAACCCCCCCTTTGCTATCCCCCCCTTTCGCCCGACCCGAGCATCCTGTCTGCACGAACGAGATGGGCACGGAAAGAATGGGTACGATGCTCGACAGCAGTTCCTGTTCATTTTGATCAGGACTCGCTGTCCACGCCGCCGCTGCCTGTGTCCATTCGAGACAGAAGGCCGCCTGCCCAACAGCGGCCGCTGTTGGTTTGGGGCAACATGTGTTGTTGGGCATTGTACCCATTCTTTCCGTACCATTTCGGGCGTCCAAATCTTGGCCCCTTCGGTGATCTTCGGTCCATCCTCAAGCACTTTCGATGGCCAGCCCCGCTCGAAAGGCTTGGGCATGAACGCCCAAGGCCCTCGTGTCCCTGTCGCGCATCCTTACTAGCAGTTTTAGCTGTAGCTCTGGCGTGTGGCCGAGAGGAGCTAGAGGGCATCCTAGCGGAGGTGCTGGAGGCCAGCCTGCCCTGGGGGGCCAGCGCCACATCCACGGCAGCCTCCACGCCGCCGCCGGGGCTCAGGGTGGACGAAACGGGTCCTCCTCCTCCTTCTCCTCTTCCTCCTCCATCTCCTCCTCCTCCTCCTCCTCCTCCTCCTCCTCCTCCTCCTCCATCTCTTATTCCTCCTCCCTCCTCTTCCTCCTCCTTTTCCTCCTCCTCCTTTTCCTCCTCCTCCTCCTCCTTCTCCTCCTCCTCCTCCTCCTCCCCTGCCAGGCGGGATTGGGAAATGGAAAACGCTTGGGGCGTTGTTGTTGTTTTCCGTGTTCAAGAGCGGCGTTATTTTTCATGATGGAGGTTGCTCTTTGTCCGTGCTGGGATTATCGTCCCCGCGGTTGTCGGTTCGGCTCCATTTTGTGTCGCGTACTATGTTATGGTTTGGGTTGTTGTTTGTCTTGTCCTCCTGGTTGGCCAGAAACCGAAACGTTGGATATGGCTTGCAAAACAACAAACAGCACAACAACGACAATAACAACAACAACAACAACAACAACAACAACAACAACAACAACAACAATCACTTTACCCGAACGCTCAGTGTTCTCACCAGTGCCAGGGTTTTCATGCGACGCCAGCCAATACCCCCACTTTGTGGGGGGGCAGTGCAAGCTCTACCAAATATCCACACGACTCTTCGCCACCACCCACACCCAGCTTCCCGCCCTATGACGTTCGGACACTTCACTTCGTGGCCTGCGGACGACCGTGGCTACTACACTGGCGTGGAGTACACACCCACAGAAGTTGTTAAGCCTACGTTCGTACACCCACAGAAGTTGTTAAGCCTTGTTAACCCACAGAAGTTGTTAAGCCTTCCACAGAAATTTTGAAAAGTCGTGCAGGTGTTTTTCGAGGACCTACGGTGCGATTCGTGTGATTTTATGATGCGCGGTGCTAAAATTCTTAAGAAGCCCAATGGTTTTTGGAGATTTCGGCGTGCGCGCGCGAAGAAAAAACGAATGTGTCCCGCATGGTATTATTTGACAGGGATGATGGCCCTGGCAGGTGCGCAACCGTTGTCGCAGAAGTTCGAAAAAGTTGCTCGCAAAAGCCCGTTTGACAGAAATGTTTAAAAAGTGTTGGGTTTCCTACGAATCCGCAAGAGCGCGCGGGATGAGATTTTGACATTTTTTTGTTGAAAAACCATTGGTTTTTTGATGTTTTTATGTTAAAATCGCTCCGAACACTAAGCTTTTGGAAGGATTTCGTCTTGCGCGCGCGAATGTCCACTTTACCTTATTTTTTGCAAGGGATTCTTGAAATTTGATTATATTAGAACAAGAAATGTCATTTTATAGTGTTTTTTGCAAGGGAAAACGGATTACAACAAAACAACCGGATCTGGATCACATCGTTTTACCTGAGGCTTCTTCACGAAAATGATGAAAATGTAGCTGCGGCCTAGGCGGCGCAGGGGGGGCGTGCACCAGGGGGCCCAACAATAATTATTCTTTAGAATAAATAATGTTCAACAACAACAACAACACCAACAACAGCAACACCAACAGCAACATCCACATCAACAGCACCAACAACGAAAACAACAACAACCACAACCACAACAACACCATCAACACCAACACCACCAAGAACAGCAACAATGACAACAACAACCACACCAACAGCCACCACAACAACGACGACGACAATAGCAGCAACAGCAACACCAAAACCACCACCAATAACTACCATCATTGCTGCGACTGCTCGCTCTTACTTTCTTGCGTGCCATTCAGAACGTATATTCCAAACCCTCGATACCCGCCCTCTTCGTCTTATGTCATACCCCGTCAGGGGTGTGTATCTCTCTTACCTGCAACGTGTATTTCGCGCAGCCCCGAAGGCAGGGGACGAGGATTGCTAAAAGCGTTTCTTCTGCGTGAGCCGCGAGGACGTCTCGAGCGACAACGCGATTCGCAATTAATCGTGAGGACATCCAAAGTGAGAGCGTGATTCCTGATTGTCGAGGGCACGGCGTCTGAATAAATTGCGAGGAAGTCCCACGCGAGAGCACGAGTCCAATATAAATTGTGAGGAGGTTCCCCTCGAGAGCGCGATTTGGGAATTTCTTCTGAGGAAGGATCGGCCGTGAGCCGCTGTTGCTGTAAAGCCCGGGCCAGGGGCACAGGTTGGTGGCATCTGATTTTCCATTGTAACAAACCGGGTGCGAGCCCCGGGAGAAACGCTTCAATTGAAAAATACAATGGTTATTGGAGAGAGGGGGTCAACAATATTTTTCAGAAATGAGAATTCGACGACATCTACAGCAACACTCATTGTAATAGTGCTCGCTCTTATCTGCTCGCGTGCCATTCCACACGCATATCTCAAACCTTCGATACCTGCCCTCTTCGTCTTCGATCGTACCTCCATCAGGGGCATTTCTTTCTTGCTTGCAACGTGTATTTCGCGAAGCCCGAAGGCAGGGGAGGAGAGGACGAATGGAAGGAAGGGACGCGGGGGAGGGAGGAGGCTGGAGCACGAGAGACAATACCAGATTGGTGGCTAGGAGGAGAAAACACGTGGCGGGAAGACGTGCCCAGGCAGCCAGGTCGAGCAGGCGGGTTGCTGAAGCTTGCGTCTTGCATGCGTCGCGAGGAAGTCTCGAGTGACAGCACAATTCCCAAATTAGTCGCCAGGAAATCTCAAGCGAGAGCGTGATTCCTGAGTGTCGAGGGCACGGCGTCTGAATAAATTGCGAGGATGTCCCACGCGAGAGCGCGATTCCAATATGAATTATGAGAAGGTTCCGCGCGAGAGCGCGATGTGAGGGAGTATCCGGCGGGAGCCGCTGTTGTTGCAAATTGGGGGCCAGGGGCGCATGTTGGTGACACTTCGCGTTCCCTAGTTTTTTTTTATTTTTAAATATATATATATATATAGCAACAATGGAAAATAATAATAATAATAGTAATAATAATAAGAAGAATAAGAATAAGAATAAGACAACTAATAATAATAATATTATTAATAATAATACTCATAATAATATGTGTTTTAAGACAAAAAAACGAGCCCCGGGAAAAGCATTTTATTGTACAGGGCAGGGGGGATCACCAACAATTTGTTTAGACATGAGAGCTCGATGGCAACAGCGACAACAACAACAATGAGTTTCGATCTGCTCGCGTGCCATTCAACACGTAGGTGCTTCCCTCTGTGCCCGCCCTCTTCGTCTTCGATCATACCCCCTTGGAGGTATCTTTTCCTGACCTGCCACGCGCACTCAGTGCAGCCCCTAGAAAAGTGACGAAGGAGGACGGATGGATGGGGGGAGGGAGAAGGATGGAGCACGAGGGACATTAACTAGCAGGGGGAGGGCTAGGAGCAGAAAACACGTGGCTGATCGGGCGGGCAGACCCTCGCGAGCAGGTCGGGAAGGCGGGCCCTGGCGGCTGGGTTGAGCAGGCGGGCTGCTGAAGCGTGAGTCTTGCATGAATCGCAAGGGTGTTTCGAGCGATAGCGCGATTACCACGTAAATCGTGAGAGAAGCCACAGCGAGAGCGTAACTCCTGAGTGTCGAGGGCGCGGCGTTTGAATAATTTGCGAGGAAGTCCGACGCGAGAGCGCGATTACTGCATACATCGCAAGGAATTCCCACGCAAGAGCGCGATGTTGGAATACAGCGCGAGGAAGGCGGGGGCCGTTGTTGTTATTGTAGCCGGGGGGGCAACAACACAGTTTGGCGACACCCAGCCTTCCATTGTCGAGGGTGCCAGCCCCAGGAGGAGCGCTTTGGTTGGAAAAGTACAACTGTCACCAGCCAGGGGGGGATCAACAGTTATTATTATTATTCAGAAGTGATAATTCAGCTATCATTTTAAGACTATTCGTTCTTTTCGGTCCGCGCGTCATTCAACATGAATCTCCCAAACCCTATACCCGCCCTCCACGTCTCGGATCTTACCCCCTCTGGGGGTATACGTTCCTCACCTGCCACGTGCAGTTGGCGCAACCTGTAAAGCAGGGGAAGGAAGCGAAGAGAGAGGAGACAAGAGGGAGGGAGAAGGATGGAGCACGAGAGAGATTTGCAGGATGGGGGCCAGGAGCAGGAGTGCAAGCGGCCAAACACGTTAGGCGGGTCGCACGGGCGGACCCTATCCGGCAGGTCGGGCGGGCGGGCCCAGACGGCCGGGTCGAGCAGGCGGGTCGCTGAAGCGTCAATCCAAGATGAATCGCAAGAAAGTTTCGAGCGACAGCGCGATTCCCAAGTAAATCGCGAGGAAATCCACAGCGAGACCATGATTTTGAGTCTTGGGGGCACACGGCACCGTAGTATATTTGTGTCGAAGTACCACGCGAAAGCGCGATTCGTGTAATCATTTGAGGAACGCCCTAACGAAAGCGCGAAATTACAATTATTCGTGAGGAAATATCAGGCGGGAACCGTTGTTGTTGAGCTCTCGCTAAAAAAAGCGGCGCGCGTGCCCTGGTTCTTGCACCCAAAAGCTGCGAGGGACAGGAGGCTTTCGCGTCCTTCCTCCAGGAGTTTCCTTTCCGCGGCCAGGAGGGAGGCGAACGGCGAACGACGAGCGAACGACGAACGAAAATAAAGAAGTCGGAGCTCGATACACACCGGTGCAAGAGAATAAATATGTCCGAGCTCTAGAACACAGCGGGCACAACGGGGCCAGGGGAGAGGACGAACGAGTGGGCCAGGGAGGCCAGGGGGGCGAGAGCGAAGGGGGCTGGGCCCAGGGCAATGGCAGGGGGAGGGCTGGGTCCAGGGCCAGGCCAGGGGACTAGGGACCGAGGGAAGCTGGGTCCAGGGCAAAGGCAGGGGGGAAGGCTGGGTCCAGGGCAAGGCCAGGGAGGCCAAAGGGGAGGACGAACGACGAACGAACCAACGACGACGACACGACGAACGAACTAACGACGACGACGACGACGACGACGACGACGACGACGACGACGAAAATAATGAGGCCCGGGGGGGGGGGGGACGACGAACGGGAGGCCAGGGGCGGGGGGGGGGAGGGCGAGGGGGGTTGGGTCCAGGGAGCGGGTTTGGGAGGCGA